ATTCATCAACAGTTGGTATATTTTCTTCTGAAAACAAATTTTTCTTGTAAATAAAAGAAACAACTATTTTGAAACAAGTTCATATCTGCATTTTAACACCATTGATAAAAACTTATATATGAAAAATTTGTTATTGATAAAATTATATCTAAATCATTTTTATTTCCTATTATCTAAACTTATTGTGAAATTATGGTTGATTATAGATCACTAAATGTCTGGCAGTAATGTACTAAAATGATTTCTAAGAGAGAACATCACATCTCTTATTTTGAGTATTATGAATGGTGCTAATGAAAAAACACAAATTACTCCAGTGTGAAATTTGCATTTATTAAGTGACATGAAAAATGTTCACTTTGATTCATTTCCCTGTCAAAAGGAGTTGAGAAGGATGATGATTCATAGGCAACACAGATTTTCTGGTTTGTTTAGACAATAGTTCATTTTTACAAACTGAAATGAGATAAATCTTGTATTTTCATAGAATGTTCCAAGATAAACTTTCAGAAACAACTATAAAAAGATAATCATATTTTTCTAAATTTGTAGAGTTTTCTTCTCTTTTCTGCTTCTATTTGCTTTTTTCTGTTACTTCCTTTTCTTTTTCTTTCAGTTCCTTTCTTTTCGCAATTGTCAGTGGTGGCAGCTTTTAGTTTTTCTTTTGTTCAGATCACAAAACTAGCCAATGTCTTCTTTGTAAATGCTGAAACTCTTTTTCTCTCAGACAAACCAAACTTCTTAAATAGCCACAAATCAGCTCCAGATTGAATCTGAAATTTTATACTATGTGGTCATAATTTACTGTCCTCATAGGTTAAAAAATTCACAAAATGTACTTCTTTAAACCATGCCTGTTTTTAGCCAGGTTTTGAGATCATCAGGCTTGAGCAAATTTTTTTACAAATTTAAAAAAAAAACAATTTTAATACATGTATCTTTTTAATAAACCATCAGACTTCATATTAGTGATTCTTTTACATCAATTTGAGCCTCACATATACAAAGTTTTGGACATCAAATTTATTGAAGCCATTTTTTATTAACCATCTGGATTCACCTTAGAAAGTTTAATAAACAAATCTAGTCTATTGCATTGTTTTTTTTTTATTTACCCTTTATTTATTTTTATATAATTTTACATTTTTTCATTATATAAATGTTTATAGTACTTATAGTATTAAGATAATGCTTCAAAAAATTAATTTTTTTTTCTGTCCAGTAAATGAATTATACAACTGAAAGGTAACCAACATGGCAGTAATTATAGTTACTTATTTATTAATTTATAATTATATTTAATATCTTTAGAATTCAGTCACATTCATTTTTTTTTATTTTTAATATAAGTAAGACTTGCTTAAAGGCTACCATTAAGATCAATGTCAAGACATTTCTTCTTTATAGAACTTATGATATATGCAAATAAATAAAAGGAACTACACTGTAATTTTCATATGGCATGTTGATGAATTATTCTCAGCAATACAACTTTGTATCAATTTTTTAAATGGATCTCAGGCAGTAGGAACTAACAAAAGCTGATTGGTTGGTAAATATATTTTATTTTAAACAATGGTGTGAAATATATGGACATATTTACTTTATGACAGAATAATGTTTTTGCAAGTTCATCGTATTTTTGAAGTATTTTTGCCTGACTTTCCACTGAATTGAGTCTCCATTTTGTAATATGTATATAACTCCATCCATGGTTTCTACTACTGGATTCCTACAAAGCATGTGGACCTTATGGTATCCCTGCAACAGTCCTTAAGAAAGGTGCTTCTGAACTGACTCCTGTTTTTTCAAAACAGTGCAATAAATGCCTTGCTACTTCTTATTTTCCTGCTTGTTGGAAATCCTTTTCTGTAGTTTCTGTCTCTAAGAATTCAAGCAAATCATCTGATCCTACTATTGGCTGAATAGCCTTCTATCACTTTTAGCTATGTATTAGAGTTTCTAATCAACTCTGAATTGTTTAAACATCACACCTTGCAGGATATTCTTTCAGATAAGCAATATATATTTTGCTTTTCTGAGTCAACTGCTATCAAGCTTTAGATAATAATGGTGAAGCTTGAGCTGTTGCTTTGGATATCTCAAAGGTGTTTGACAGGGTTTGGCAAGGTGGTCTTCACAAGCTGAAGAGTATTTCTGGATGAATTTTTAATCTGATTCAATCTTATCAAATTGTGAAATGAAAGTTTTCTGGAACAGCCACTCTTCTAGGTGTTTTTTTTTGCATTAATGAAGAGGTCCCTCAGTATTCTATTTTTAGGCCTACATTGTTCCTAATTTTCATCAACAACCTTCCCAATGTCATGTTCTCAACTCTGTATCTATGCTGATGGCACATCTATTTACTCCTGTCTTAATAGTAAGTCTCATCAGTTTGATTAGATCAAATTGGCAGCTGGTCTAAAAAATGATCTCCAATCTGTTATTAACTGCAGCAAGGAATGACTTGTTAATTTCAATTCCACCTAAACAAAAATCACTTTAAAGAATGTTTTTGTCTCTTATCATCATGACTGGTGCTAACCTCTAGGAGAATGACTCATTTTGCCTTGTCAGGCTAACACTTTCCACTGACATGAAGTGGAAAGATTATAATGAGTAAATTGCTGGAACGGCCACTAGGAAAGTTGGTTCCTTGCATTGTGCCAGACACTTTTTCTCACTAAAATTTATCTTGCACATTTATAAGTATATTATTCATCCATATATTGAATATTGTTGACATATCTCTATCTATAAAAGGCAGGATGCGTGTGTGTAACGAATGCACGGCCGCAATTTTCAATGGATTTACACCAAAATTTACATGGACATGCTCCAAGTTAGCAGGAAGTCCAAGACTCACTTTGCATTTCCCAACTCCCATCAATAGTGGAAATAATCAATTTTTTCATGCTTCTACGGCAATTTTCATGTAGTTTGCGACCATTTTCTACTGGCCATAGTGAGAGCCAATAGCTGGCTGCCACGAATATGCAGCAAGATTCTATTGGCCAGCGTGAGAGCCAACAGCTGACTGACATGAATGTTAACTAGCATGCTAGCATGCAAAAAAATCGATAGCTGCATTTGTCACAAGTGGGAAAAATTTAAATCTGCATGGCACTTTACTCCAATTGGCTCATTCGCTTGCTTAAACTCAATGTTGATTCTGGTTCCGTAGAACTGGGTTGGGTGTGAAAAAGTATTTGTTGTTAATGTTTTTTTTCATTTGGTTTTTCCAGTTACAAGTCCTTTTTTAAAGCTGATTGTTTTGTGTTCATTTTGTTTAGTTCTTTTTTCATAACAGATTTAATGTTTAGTATAGAGCTTAGAAAAAATTCACAGTGTGAGATAGGCAAGAAGTAAGGCATGAGGCAACATCAGCATGGCAAAGGGCACTCCTTTAAAGGCAAGGAAGGGCAAAAGTATTTTAAGTCAAGTGATAGTGATTGCTGTATGAGTCGTATGATTTTTGAATCAAGCACGGGCAACGACGGGCCATGCTGTTAGTCTGATATAGTGCTTCTTCTGTGTATTTAGAGATTCTTGACAAAATCCAAAGTGGAATCAGTAACGTTATCTTCAGTCACTTACCCACTGCCATGACCATGAGCTATTTGGTACCTTGACTTTGTCAAATTTAAGAATAATACCAATATAGCTGCTAGTTCTAATCATTTTACAGTTGAAACTGTTAGATCAATCCATAAGTTCTATGCTAAGAGTTTTTTCTCTTACACTTCTCAATTGTGTATTTTTTGTATAAAGCTACCTCTAAATGGTGAGAAAAACCACTTACCGCAAAATATCTGATATGAAGATTTAGATACCATGCTTTTGTTTTTGAAAATGCATGATTTTTAATTTAAAATTACCTGTGTATAGTGTGACCCTCTATTTTTGCGTAAAAAACTGATCATAAAAACTCACACTATACTCGAGTATATGTAGTATTTGTATTATTTACTTTTCAATGTGAAAAACATTAAGATCTGCATTATAATATTATATGCACTCATATTTATCATATAGAAAATGAATGCACAAGGAACAATTCTTAAATTAAAATATAATAAAGGTTACTCTGAACATGAAAATGAATTAATAAGAACATGTGGACATAAAATTATTCAACATTATTTAATTGAAATGTTTAAATAAAAGTAAATTTGCGATTTTTATCAATTTTACAGTAAAATTTAACCATTTTGCTTTTGCATTTATTTATATTTATAACTAATATTTTTTTTTTTTTTCTAAACCTTTTAATGTTGTTTTATTCTGCTAATAACAATTATAAATGATAACAAAAAGAGAGTAAGAACATTTTTATTTTGGGATGGTTTTAACATTTTCAGAATAATTAAATTTCTTTTGGAGGATGGTTCAGGGATGATAATGAAAAAAAAGTTAGTCTGGATCCCTGGCTGCCATCTTCATTTATGCTTTACACGATTTGTATTTATAAATCTACTGTGCTCTTGATTACTCTTTTTCTCTTCTTGCTCATTATTAATATTTCTGTTCCTAATTAATTAATCTGCACCCATGTGTCTTAGTGGCTTTACTGCATTGCATGAGGTCAAATCGATTAAAAAAAAAGAAAAAAAAAAGAGTTATAACTAGAATCACAGGTAGTCAAAATTTGGTCATGTTTGGAAAGATTGAATAAATAGAGGAATTATCACAAAAAACCTTAGGATTAGATTTGATTTTTTTTTTTTTTTTATACAGCTTATCAACCCTTTGCAGGTTATTTAAAGCCAGGATTTATTTTTAGCTTGTAAGATTGTAGATTTTTTAATATAATTAAAAATGGAGATAATAATGGTTTAATGAAGTCTTACTAATTAACCCATAGCTGGGGGAGAAGACGTGGATACCTTTCCCAAGTATATTTACACATAAGTAAATATAATGAACTCAATGGGGATTGGAACTCAGTTCTCTGATTAATAATTCCAAGCTATTATCCATTACACCCCCGCACATCCAAGCTTGGAACTCTCAAGCGGTCACCCATCTAAGTACTGACCAAGCTCAATGTCGCTTAATTTCGGTGATCATACAGGAACTGGTGTTTGAACGTGGTGTAGCCGTAAACCTTAGGATAACCTACCTTTGCACCATTATCAATTTAGTTTTGGCTGTTTCTTAATAGTTACTTATAAACTATCATATTTTGGTCTATTTGATAGGGATTGATATTAGCCACTTAGAAATGTCTGACAAGATAACTCAAAAGAAATTTCTTTGTCTTGGATCTTCTTAATCTAGCAGCGGATTGAAATGAAACAATGAAAGCAGTTTGTAGAAAATGACAAAGACAGAGAAAGCAAAGATTATCCTAGAGTGACTGACAAAATATTTCACTGATAAAAATGTGTCAGTACTCTCTGGTTAATAAGTATAAGGAGAAGCAATCTGATGAGTGATAATTTAAAAGATAAGGATAGCAATTCAGATGATATTTCTCTTGATAAAATAGCAAGCAAAGCCTTATATCGAGTACTTTTTTGTAATAATTAACATTTTCTGAGAGTTATCGCCCTTTAAATATTTAAAGAATCACACAGGAAAACTTTGTAATAAAAATAAAAACTGAAGGAAATATGCTATTATTATTTATAGTGTGGGTAAAATAGTTACTATTTTTAATTTAGAATATATCAGATTCAATGTGTGTCTCTTTATATGAATAAAGATAAAAAGGAAACTTATCTTAGCCAACACGTTTTGTCCTCTGATGGACTTTATGAAGGCAAATGTAGGGATTTTATTTTACAACATGTATTTATAAACAGAAGTCAAGTGGAAGAAAATATTGTTAGGTTTTCAAAATTTTAAATCTAAGAACACTCTAAAATATTCTTAAATCTAATTGTGTAAGTATAGATAAACTATGGCAGGGCTAATTTATACCTAAATTTTACATACACACACACACACACACGGAGAGAGAGAGAGAGGAAGGATTAATACAAATATAAAATTTGTCACTTAGCTGATTGATGTTATAGTCAGTAGTCTAGAGTTTTTTAAAGCTTTTTGTAATCATTGAGTCCACTCACCAGGAGGTTTCTGAAAGATGCAGTTTTGTCTTTTATTCTAACCTGAAGAAGCCAAAGGAAGCAAACACTCTCAGAGAAATCCACTGTTTATAACTTTTCAACTTTGTCTCATTATTTTCACTTTTCTTTTGGATGCTATTATACATTCTAAACACACACATTATACATACATACATACATATTTATATAAGATCAGTGTTTATTTGTTCATTTTCATAATTTTACAGATTTAATTTGCTGTCTATTTTCCTTTCTTTACTTGATCAAAAAGTCGATTGAACTATTTTATATAAACAGTTCAAGAAATCCCTTCCATTGATATAGGAATACGCAGAGATCAATAGGTTCTTATATCTTCATACAAGCTTGAAGTCCTCCACGTTACAAAGCAAATCAAAAATGATTTCAAAATTAACAGGAGATAACTGATAACTGACATCCATTAAACATGGCACATGGAACTAGAACAATCTACCCCAGTGAGCGAAATAAAGGGTTCAGTTCGACATTTCAACCACCTGGAGAAGGCCGGAGAGTACAACGGCCAAAACGTTGTAATAAATATGGCAACAAAGATAAGGACAATAGTCTGAATAACGTAAATAATGTAATAACAATTAGTTTGGTATATTTTTTATTTGGTCAGTTATAAATATGAGTGGAAAGAGGTTCATAACAAAAATGGCTTTTAAATGTTATAGAGATAAATAATAATCTAAATGAAATTTAATTATACATATAATCAGAGAAATTTTTATTTAGTATAGCATGTTGTTTATGTCAATACAGTGGGCTGCAAAAGTAGGTATACAATATTATACCACTATTACCGATGTTTGTATAATCAGTACAATACATTTTATGTGCACATTTTGATTTTCATTACTGTATACCTACTTTTACATTGTACTTTTATTATATTCTTACTGGATATGTCAGTATAGCTATTAAAGTATATATTACTTTAAGTGGATTGTAGTGCATCACCAATCTGGTCAATTAGAGCTTGAAAAAGAAAAAAATACTTTCTAATCAATCAGTTTTCATTGCACCTTTCTGCAAAAATTCAGACATTTTTCAAGACAAACTAGTTATGTTGACTTTGTGAGTTCTAGAAAATCTTAAATAAAATTTTCAGCCTCATCTGATAAAGCAAGGAGGCTCTTTGCCCCCAAATTCCACCTTAGATAAGGGCCAACTCCTGACTTCCACCTTCTCATGGATCACAAAATTTGTAATATCTCTATCACTTTACAGGAAGATTCCAAACTTATCAAAAGCCTTGACTCTTAGAAGGCAACCAGTTCAGATAAACTCCCAGTGGTTGTTCATAAGAACATTAGCCCAGAGTTATCTCCACTCTTGGAAAAATCATTTAACTGCTGCTTGAGGAGAAATGCTTCCCAAGTCTATGTAAGGTATCAGTTTTAGGCCTTGTTATCAAGAATGTGAGTGAATACTCATTCTCATCATAATATCAACCCATTAACCTCCTTAGTGACATCAGCAAACTCTTTGAATTTATGATCACACACTTACACAAATTCAAATTATACAACAATAAGCATTCATTGGATAATAAATCAACACTGCTTTGTAATAGACAATTTTATAATCGCTATATTTTCATGTAGTCAATTTTGTGCACTTTTGGGAGAATCGAATCCCAAGAGACTTCTTAGCTTAGTAAATATTTTTCAGGAAATATCAGCTTCTAATTGGTCAATAAACACACAAGTGGGCGTTGCAATCCATCCACGCACAATATATTTTTCCAGTGCGTGACTAAGTAAAGTTTTCCGTCAAGGCGCACTGTAAATGTTTTGTTTAATACATGTATTTGTTTATATATATCGGTCTTGTTTGTTTGTCTTATCTTCAATTGGACTAGAGGAAATTATAAGTCAGAAAATCATTCTTGGTGGAGAGAGACGTTTTGTTTTCTGGCTCTGTGGTAAAATGTTTTAAATTACTATGTAAAATAACTGTTACCTTAAAAGAATGTATGACAGTGTCGAATTATTTTCTTAGGTAGACTTTAATTTTAGAAATATAACTTTATAGTTGCTGGGTATCAAATTTTATTTGAGAATGCCATGGGAATTAAGGGATTAGCTTTTTTGTGTTGGGTGACTTTGGTAAAGAGAGTTCTGAAACTAAATTTTTTTTTATATATAACTTGAAAAATAGTTATGTTGTACTTTAACTTATAAGGTAAGGTCTATTTTCAGAAATGTACCATGTTTGATAAAGAGATCAGAGTGTTCATTTTCACCTTATAAGTAAATTGTTTGGTAAATTTGTTTTTCAATCCTCGAGCTAAATATCTATTAAAATTTTTCGAAATATTCATATTTCTGTATAAATGTACTCGAATTAACAATTAAAATTATAATAAAAACTACCATTTTGGAGTTATCAACCAGAAAAAAAAAATCAGATTTAACCAGTCATTTGTCCACCATTACCGGTTTTGTGTAATTAGATTTATGGTGTTGGAGGGGAGTGGATTCGTTGTTACTTGTTGCTTTATCAGAAGGTAGGTAGTAGTAGCAGTCCTTCGGGACAGCCGCTAGTTTGGCCTAAAGGTTCAACAAGCAATCAATTTGAGGTCACCATACATAAACAAAATAACATACGAAAGAGAAGGGTATATCAAAACACTTTGTATTAAAATACAACATCAATGAATAGTACAATTTTCTTGATTCACACGCACAAAAAGTCCGTTATAAAATGTTCATTCGTATAAGAGAAATTGGATTATTAAAGGAATATAAGAGTCACTTTGTTAATACTTAAGTTTAAGGCGTGCTGGTCACAGGAGATGAAAGGTGAGGTCAATGTGTTGGTAGGAGTCATTTGGTATCTCCGGTGGTGAAGGAAGGCTGGAGGCGTCTGGTGATGGGTGAGGAAAGCGTAGCGACATTCTCTGACGGTACTTCAAAGCTTTCTCTACACACAAGTGAATTTATCGCTCTATTTATTTGTGCCCATCGGCTCAGAGTCAGTCTGCTGAAGCAAACTGTTGGGTATGGCGCGGAGCCGTTTTATTGGTGGAAATTGCTTATTATTCTTTTTTTTTCTTTTTATTTTCCACGGAAATTCTGCGTGGGCAGGTGCGCAAAGACCAGTATTGGTCATTTGCTATTTAGACCTCTGAGGGTTAACATCCGGTCCTTCGCTTGCTCCGTGCCACCACATAACTTTCGCCCCAGTAAACGGAGTTGTTGTTGTTGGTTTTTTTTTTTTTTTTTTTTTTTTTTTTTTTTTTTTTTTTTTTTTAGTAATAAAATATGTGTTTTCTTTCTTCCATTTAACCGTTCTACCGGACTTCGTTCTAGTTTCTGGTTTGTTATCATTAGTTTCTTGGAACAAGATAGGGAGTTCTCCAAATCCGGTCTTGATCCAATGGAATCTTTTGATTTTATATTTTCAGAAATATATGCAGGTTTTAGTCTATCTATTGAAACATTACTATGTACGTCATCCGATCTTTTAATAGTAAAATATTTTTCATGACGACTTAATACTTGGAATGGACCTGTGTATGGAGCTTCCAATGGCTTTCTTACTCTGTCTGTTCTTAGCCAGATACTTTTACATGTTTGTAAATCTTTTTGGAATGTAAGAATTAGGTATTGTATGCAGGTGTCCCTGGATAATTTGTCCATGTCAAATTTTTGCATCTCGTCGGCTAGAATTTTAACGTGCGAGTTTGTCATTTCACTATTCTCGTTCTTGATAGAGTCAATTAATAATCGGGGGACTTGTGCATGACTCCCTGTTACTGCAGTAAATGAAGAATAGTTTGATTCGTTAGGTGTTATCCTCATTCCCAAAAGGACGATAGGAAGAGCTGTTAACCACGATTCTTTCCTGGCTATAATAGCCGTTTTTAAAGTTCTGTGTGCTCGCTCAACTAATCCATTAAACTGCGGATGGTACGCCGTTGTTCGTAATCTGTGGAAGCCTATTATTTTTGATAGTTCTGAGAATAATTGATTCAAATTGGCTTCCTCTGTCCGTAACGACATGAAGAGGAACCCCGAATCGGGAGATCCACAGATTGACAAAAGCTGTTGATATTGATTTTGCCGTAATTTCTGTTATTGGGCATGCTTCTATCCATCTCGTATTTCTATCAACGCAAGTTAATAAATATCGATATGGTGAAAATATGGGTCAGTTTGGTTCTTTACTGGTGGTAAGGGACCGACAATATCCACATGCACCGTTTCAAAACGACTGGAAGGTAATTGAATGGATTTACTTTTGCTCTTTGTGTGTTTTATTATTTTCGCTTGTTGGCAATGCTGGCATTCTGTGCACCAGGTTTTTATTGACTTGTCCATCTTGGCCAATAGTATCTTGATTTTATTATTTTTCTTGAAGATGTTATTCCTGGATGTGATAGATTATGTAGACTGTCAAATACCGATTTTCTGAGCTTTTCAGTCACAAAAGGTCGTGGAAAAGGTAATGTCGTGTCACATAATATGGTTTCATTTTGATTTATTGTGTATGGTTTCAGTTGATCTTTGAATGCCTGAATTTCATTGTCAGTAGCTTGATGCTTCATTATTTCTTGTAAGTCACATACATCAATAGTGATCGCGTTGACAGGTCGTGATAAACAATCAGCTACTATATTTTGTGAACCTCTTATATGTGAAATGTCATTCACATATTCGCTGATAAAACAGAGGTGACGCTGTTGTCTATCTGATTTAAGGAAGACTGACTTTTAAAAGCACTGCAAAGTGGTTTGTGATCCGTCAGTAACATTACATTTCTGCCTTCTATTAAATGTTTAAAATGGAGTACTGCTAGATAGGCGGCTAGTAGTTCTCTGTCAAAAGTAGAATATTTTTGTTGGGTTTGGGATAATTTCTTTGAAAAGAAACCTATGGGGATGGGTTGATTATCAATCATTTGATGAAGTGCTGCACCCAATCGCATAATTCGAACTGTATGTTACAAGTTGATAGTTGTTAGCTTTCGAGCTGGGGAAAGCCAAAACAGTTACATTTGATAAAGACTTTTTCATATTTTCGAAAGATTCAATTTCTTCCTTTGTTAGGGTTAATGACTTGGAATTTTGGTTTAAACGTATTTTTTCCGTGAGAGGTAGTATGATATCGCTGAAATTTGGCACAAGTTTTCTGTAAAAATTTGCCATTCGAGGAATCGGCGTAGTGATTTAGAATTGTTTGGTTGAGGAAATTCACTTAATTCATTCAACTTTTTTAGCACTGGGTTTGAGACCACTAGCAGAAATGTGAAATCTAAAAAAGTCTAATTCATTAGCACTAAATATGCATTTGGAGAGACAAATTTTAAAATCGTACTCACTCAGTTTTTGTAGTACTAGGTCGATATGCTCGGAATGAGTTTCTTCATCTTCTGAGAATATAAGGATATCGTCGATATATACAAAGGTATAATCAGTATCACGAAAGATATTGTCCATCATTCTCTGAAAGGTATATGATGCGTTCCGTAGTCCGAAAGGCATATAGTTATATTCAAATAACCCAAAAAGGGGTAGAGATGGCTGTCTTGCAAACATCCTCCGGATGTACAGGTATCTGATGATAAGCAGACGACAGGTCTATCTTTGAAAAAGAACTTCTTATTATGAAGCTTGAAGACAAGGAATTTATATTTGGGACTTGATATCGATGGGCTTTTGTTATGGTATTTAAATGTCTGTAATCGCCAACAGGTCTATATGTGCCGTCTGACTTCGTTACCATGTGTAAGGCTGAACTCCATTCAGAGTTTGAAGGGGAAATTATTCCTGCCTTTAGGAGTTTCTTGAATTCCTCTTTTGCAATTTCACATCTCTGAGCTGATAATTGTCTGGCTCTGGAGAAAGTAGGAGGGTTGCTACCAGTTTCTATTCTGTGGAATATCTTTGGTTTTGTTGCATTCGTGTTGCGATGAGGAGAAATTAAGTTTGGGTATTTCTCCAGAATTGCTCGTACCATTTTGTTAGCATCTTTATTCGGTACTAAATCTATATTCATGATAATAGACGATGGATGTGCATCGGATTGTCTATTAGTCATTTTATCAATTAGCTTATTGTTCGTGCAGTCCACCATTAGCCCGAAATGGTTTAGGAAATCGTATCCTAGGAGTGGCTGAGCAGTTTGGCTATTATAAATGTCCAGGTAAATTCTCGTCTGAGGTTCCGTAGTGTTAGATTCAGTACTGCTTGTCCTGAGCATTCAATCTTTTTGACCGTTGGCAGACACTAAAGAGATATTGGTTGGGTATGTTACAGCTCCTCTTAAATATCTCTTCGGAAGTATAGATACGGCAGCTCCTGTATCCACAATAAAATTTAAACTTTGAGCTCCTAACCGTGCGGCTACAATGAGAAGCGGCGAGGAAATGGAAGCTAACACCCTCTCGCCTAGTTAGTTTTTTCCGAAGTCTCACGAGGAACTGGTGAATTTGGGCGAGAGTTGGGTTGCATTTGAACATTCCGTTTATTTGGCCATCTGCACCATGGCTTACAAAAATTTTGCACGTTCCGCAAAGTATAAATGCGCTCGGCAAATTTGAGGTTTTTGGTCCTTGTTAAAAAAGGGCGAACACTGGTAGGGAATTTATTTTCACTGTGGGAACAGCCATGTATCCTTTTAGTTTCATTTTTATTTTGCTGTTCATCCCTTTGCTTTGAAATCTGTCGAATAATGCGGTGTCTTGTTTGTTAAAATATAATAGTAAGTCATCCGCCATTTTTCCAAGACGATCTGTGTCTAAATCGACTTGTGCAGCTACCACTGGTTTAATGGGTGAGGTAGGGCTTGAATAAATTTGTGACGTACGATATCGTCCCCTCACGCCAATTCGGCTTGCTAATGACATAAGTTCATTCAGGTATACTGAGGACGACCTGTTACAGTCGATGACGACATTAATTTGTCCAGCATCTCTGGTTTTGTTTTTTTCGTAAGCGCCCGTCACTGCTTCTTTTAGTGCGTCATAATCTTTTGATTGCAGTATAGTTGGCTGTATATTTCCTACTATGTCCACAGGTAGAGCTGCCAAAGTGTTAAAAATTTTGACTGGTCTGTTTTATATTTGCAATATTAAATTGCGCCTCCATTATCATAAACCAAGCTATTACGTTTGATTCAATGAAGTTTGGTGGTTTTATCGCAACAGTTTGGATTGGTTGGTTTTTGATTAATTGTAGTTTCTTCAGCATCAGTTGCCATGTTTTTGGTTTGTGTTGAATAAAAATTCTAATTTTGTGACAGTTCAATTTTTTTTTTTTTTGTGCGTGCGTGTATATATATGTGTTAAAATCACGTCGGCGGTCAACACTTATTGTGTTGGAGGGGAGTGGATTCGTTGTTACTTGTTGCTTTATCAGAAGGTAGGTAGTAGTAGCAGTCCTTCGGGACAGCCGCTAGTTTGGCCTAAAGGTTCAACAAGCAATCAATTTGAGGTCACCATACATAAACAAAATAACATACGAAAAGAGAAGGGTATATCAAAACACTTTGTATTAAAATACAACATCAATGAATAGTACAATTTTTCTTGATTCACACGCACAAAAGTCCGTTATAAAAATGTTCATTCGTATAAGAGAAATTGGATTATTAAAGGAATATAAGAGTCACTTTGTTAATACTTAAGTTTAAGGCGTGCTGGTCACAGGAGATGAAAAGGTGAGGTCAATGTGTTGGTAGGAGTCATTTGGTATCTCGGTGGTGAAGGAAGGCTGGAGGCGTCTGGTGATGGGTGAGGAAAGCGTGGCGACATTCTCTGACGGTACTTCAAAGCTTTCTCTACACACAAGTGAATTTATCGCTCTATTTATTTGTGCCCATCGGCTCAGAGTCAGTCTGCTGAAGCAAACTGTTGGGGTATGGCGCGGAGCCGTTTTATTGGTGGAAATTGCTTATTATTCTTTTTATTTCTTTTTATTTTCCACCGGAAATTCGGTGTGAGCCGGGTGCATAAAAGACCAGTATTGGTCATTTGCTATTTAGACCTCTGAGGGTTAACATCCGGTCCTTCGCTTGCTCCGTGCCACCACAGATTCACTGCCGATCACTTTCACTCACTTCCATAGCGCAATCATAACTTTTTGGCCTGTTTACAGTTTACTGCTTTCACTGCTCTTACTCATCGAAATTACTGCACACTATCGTAAAGCAATGACAACTGGGCAATATATTTTTTTGATAAGTGTAGTTTTATTTATAACAGAAAACTTTAAACAAAAACAAATTAAATAATACAATGAAACGTTTCTGTGTAGAATAGCAATGACAAATTAAATAATACAATAAAGCATTTTTTTTTAAATTAAAAAACAAAAATTACAATGTAAAAAGGCTAGAAAGAAAATACTAACAAGAACAAATTCAAGTTTCAAATATATGAAAATATTGATAAATTAAAAAAGAACAGAAAGAACAAATTAAAATAAATAATACAGTAAAGCATTTTTTTTTTATTTATTTTAAATTAAAAATAAAACCGATAATAATTAATGCGCAAACTTTTTAGAGCACAGGGTAATTTACAAAATAAAATTACAATTTTAAAAAAATGCTAACAAGAACAAATTTAAGTTTCAAATATATGAAAATATATATGTATTAACTAAGCATGATTATTTACAAAATAGCAGTTTCATTTGGGTCCTGGGTAGATCTTGCTCACCTCTGTCAGGAACACGGGAAGGCACTCAGTATAGTGAGGGATTGTTTGAAAGAACAAGAAACAAGCAATATATTGCTTTAAGAAAGCAGTTTTGTGTCCAGATCATTTGACAATATCCTTGATAGTCCTCCAGTCTTTCCATTGTTTGGGTGTGGATATTCCAGTCTGTCGCGTAATGTTTGTGTATGTATCCATGGTCTGCTATTTGCACATACGCCGACCAGCAGCTAGGTACCTCCAATAATTCGGTATTCCATCATTTAAAATGTTTATTATTAAGAGGAAAGAACACAGTATTTTTTAAATATTTTTTTCCTTCTTTCTAACACGTTTTACATTTGGGTCAAAAATCTCATTTTTTTTTTTTTTTTTTTTTTTGGTTAACTTTGTAATACTTCTGGTAATGGCCATTTTAGTGTAGCAGTTTCAGGGGGAAAACACATTAATTTGGAAATTCTTGCAAAAATCAAATAATTGTCCGATTTTAATGGAATTTTCAGAACTTATTAAAAAATGAATGAATTTATTTTTGAAATTTTTATTTTTAGAAAATCTTGGTAAAAATATATTTTTATTTTTTTTTTACATCTGTTACCCCCTACACACACACACACACACAAACACAAATTAATTTTATGAAATTTTCTAGAATTTCAAACAGTTCGCAAATTGTTTTATATTACTTGACCCCTTAGAGAAATTAAATCATCAATTTTTTTTTCACAACTACTGCCAACTTTTTAAAAATCTCTAAATTGTAAAATAAAAACAGCAATAAATTATCTAATTATCAAATTAGATAAGCTTTTATTAATAAAACATTAAGGACATTATTATCTGAAGAAGAAAAAAATTTCGATGAATAAAGAATTTTTACAAGAATTGTTTGCATTTTTCTTTTAGTTTTTTTCATTTTTCTTTAAATTTTAAAAAATGTTTTAAAATTCTTCCAAGCAGAGTGTGGGGTAGGTTAAGTTTTTAAAGAGAAGACTATATTTACTAAGCGAAAATTAAAAACTTAATACAAATAATAATACCAAAACTTTTTACCATAATTAAAAATATTTTTTTTGTGCGTCAACAAAATGTTATATTTTTTTTAATTATATCTCATAAGTGACATTATGGTTAAAATGTCACGTTTCAAGGCTTATCTCCTTCATCTGGAAAGCCCCTTGACATGTAAAGTTTTATCTCACTCTCAGTTATTAAATTAAAAATTAAATTGAGATAATAAAATTATCTTATTTATCAATTTAAACAATAATTCAGGGAGATATTTTAATTATTAAATATAATAATATTACCTCAAGCATCGACTAAAAATCATTCAAATTTCTATTTGAAATACTACAGTATTTTTTTTTCCAGAATTAGAAAATTTAATCCTTTAGCTTTCAATTGAAGCGGTTGGAAAACTTCGAAAAGGATGTTTTCTTTATGAAAAATACATTTTAAATGATAGATCCTGGTCGGATATGGCGCATTATTAGCGGAACAAGTGTATTTGCATCCCTGGATTCTTCTTCACCGCAGTCTAAATGGAACCAAAAACGTCTTCTTTGAAACCCTTTCAATTCCGCCAAAAAGCCAGACCGTTTTCAGTCTACGTCCCCGGTTATATTTGCGTTTGGAGATAACTGTTTCATCGATTTCTAGCTCGACACCTAGTCCACCCAACTTTTCCTGCACATGTTCTATCCAAAACTGGCACACCTCACAGAAGGAGCGCCAATTGACTGAAGTGTAATTTTTTGCAATGTTTAAGTTTTCAAACATTATCCAGCTACGATCAAGGAAATGTGTTAAAAAAAAAGTAGCACTTTCCACGCAGGCAAGTGGGACTTCTTCAGAAGTGTATTTTTTTTCTATCACCAACGCTGAAGCCACATTCTGTTTTCCGGTGGTTAGGACGGGAGACATTTTCTGCAATGCCATGTTTTCCGTTCGGCACGCAACGAGATAGGTGAATGACATGGAGGGCATTCCTCGGAAGACGGTAATATTCCGTGTAGTCGGAGATATTCTAGAAGCCTGTTCATTCAATCGAAAGCATTGAATTGTTTCGTAAAGAAAAAAGAAGGACCGAACAATTTGGTGGTCTCTAAAAATCCAACTACTACTTTAATTTTCGATGTCAAAAGCTAGCAGCGTATAGGGGGTTTAGTTATGTATGTTAGTGTAAACCCGGATATAAGAGAGTTGTCGGGACCGGAGAAGTCTCTTATATCCGGGTTTGGTCTATTTTGTTTAGGTAAGTATGGGAACACTTTGGGGCAAGAGAAAATCTCTCTTATATCCGGGTTTCTCTTATATCCTGGTCTACATAGGTTAGTTTCGTTCGTATGTTGATAACAATTAAACGATATTTTTATCATTCCCTTTTACTTTTTTTTTTTTTTAACTAGAAGATGAAATAAGGAGGTTAGTCTATTATTGTAATTTGGTCTCTCAAAAAAGGAATTTACTTGATATATAAAATTATTTTTTTATAAATGAAAATTTTGGGGTCGCACGAGACACTACAGTAGTATTAAAAAACCTTTTGGAAATAGTAAATACTGTTTCCGGTATAATTATTTCCGGTATTTACTATAACAACTATCACAATGGCGAAGCTCAACGAAATTGAAAATGTCATATTTATTTCATCTCGACAATATTCATGGATTTATCTTATAACTGTGATAGCGTGATAAAAATAACGGTGTTGAATTCGTATAATAACTTTAATATGTTATTCTTTTTGTCGATAATAATTCATATTTCGTGTAATTTACCCATGTAAACAGTATACAAATGAATGGAAACAAGCAAAAATTAAACCTGATTATAAAGAAAAATAGTTTGAATGCAAATTTCTTTCAATTTTCTCCTTCATTTTTCCATTCTAGCATTTGATTCAATTCTTTCGTTTTCATGTTGATATTATTTTATCTTAACTGCTTAAACTCATTTATCTAACCGAACCGTTGTCAAGTGCTGGAAAAGTTATCCGTTTATCGTTACTAAGGGGGAAAAATAAAAACACTGGTTTTTTTCCAAACTTATTTTCTAATAGTTCGTTCGTAATCATGTTTTTAATGTTTTAACTTCTAAGAGAATGTATTTGTTTCATAAGAGCCAACTGTTTGCAAAAAAATAAAATTTTTGACACTGAATGGAAATCTTTTTTTATATAGATCAAAACAAAACTTTTACGCGGGTAAGAATAAGATCCATGTTTTTTAAGTTTAAAACTCAAAAACTTGGAAAGTGATTAATATGAATTTAATTAAAAATAACTTATTTGTCTCGTGTAACTTTAATTCATTCATAACAACTCTGTGTTATAATTTGTTAAAGTGTTTTATTTTGAAATGCTCATAGAAAGACGGCATAAATTATAAAATTATTTAAAACCTTAATTTTTTTAATGAAATCTTAACTGCCCTAATTCGTGAATTTTGGAGTTTTACTTTTAGTTTTAACATTCCACATTGACTTTTAAATTCGTTAATTTTTGTCTTTATTTGTTCATTTTCATAATTTTACAGATTTAATTTGCTGTCTATTTTCCTCGAGGGGAAAAGCTGCAGTGTAATTCAATGTTCGCTATATTCAGAGAGTGTACGGATCGTTTCATTCAGAAATGTCGGATAAAAAGGTAAGTAATTATGTAAAATTATTGTTATTGTACAATGTACATTAGTGACACTTTTTTTTTGTCATTAAAATAAATTTTGGTCATTTAAAAACTGAATCAAAAATACTATAGACAGAGAAATTTTGTGCGAGAATATTTTGTTCAAAATGTTCGTTTTAAGTAAAAAAAAAAACATAAAAGGGGCGATATTAATTAGAATTATTATTTTATTTTATTTTTTTTATTTACTTTTTTGTATTCCCCAACCGAAACGTAGTAATAAATATGGCGAAAAAGATGAGGACAATAGTCCGAATAATGTGTAATGTTCATAATACCTCATCTGAGAAATATAGACAGATACTGTACAAGGTGTGTCAGGAAAAATTTATCGTAAATGATAAGTTATGAATTCCATAACACTGCGAAATAATTAGTTGACAAGATAATTTTTTTGCAGTTCATTACTAGTAATTTCGGTCCTCACTGGGTGTCCTGCACTTTTACTTTGGTATTATATACTTTAAACTAAATTTAATTATCTATATGAGCTTTGCACAAAAATATTTTTTCTGTGGTGTTATCAGAAATATTTAATAATGAAGGTAGGTATTTTCAGTTCAAAGTGTTATTCTATGTTGGGAAGAATTTCTTTACAGATTAAATCATTTCATCATATTTATATTGTTATTTGAACAGGTCAGGTAAATTTCAGTTTGAGATTTCTGCTATTCCATAACTGCTAATATTATTGTATAAATATTTTGGTGAGAAAGACAATTACAATTAGTAAAGTTCCTTAATAATCCAGAGATTATTTCAGAAAGAATATTTTTTAAAATTATAACAATCAGAATGAGAACATCCGTTCCAAATCTCATTGAAGCTGAATAATACTTATTTATTTTTTATCATTTATTTTTCTGTAATGTTTTAATCATATTGATAGAGTTAAGAATGTTTATAATGCTAATAACTGGAATGAGACTTTTTGTATTGGTTAACATGTTTTTTTTTATTCTGCAGGAAATTAACATTTGCTATCCTGGGGTTAGATGATGCTGGAAAAACTACCACAGCAAAAGGTCTTTCTGGAGGTGAGTATATTTGTTGTTGCTTTCTTTTGGAATCATCTCTACTTGTTTTAAAAATAGAAAATCTGCTCTCATTCATTTTGATGCATTTACAATCCTACCAAACTTGCATGCTTACGTATTCAAAATCAATATAATGCTTTGTAATCAGGCACTGAAAAATGATAAATAAAAAAAATCTAAGTAAAAGATAAAGTCTATCTTTTAATGAAAATAAATACTGCATTTATATCGGAAATGACATTGCAACATTATCTTTGACCAAAAAAAGGAAAAGGGATAGGGAGAGAGTATAAGAAGACAAGAAAATGATTAAAATTAAAAATGAAAAAAATATCAGCCTAACCCCAGTAATAGTAGCATATGAATTTAGTGCATAAATTAATTACTTCAAACTTAGCATGAAAATAATGAAAAATGAGAAAATCTGCAGGCAATTGCTGAAACCTGACAAGTGGACCAAACAATTACAAAAAGGTTTGTCTACAAAACTCCAGAGTTGAAGTGCTGAACATAGCATCTATCAGCTCAGTGACAAATTTTATTTGTATTAATCTTAATCTTTCATAAATAGTTGAGATGGAATTTAACCAAAAACTTTTTTACTTAATTGGTATTTCTTCCATTTCCTGTTGATGTCAATTTAATCCAAGGATAGATATTGCACAAGTCCTTAACCCTTTGCCTGTCCAGGATATTTTCATCATTCAATAGTATTCCTTTGGCGAATTACTTATACAAAAAATATACTGTGGGATGATCAGATCAAACAGAATTAGTCTATTACAGTAAAAGATGCTAAACTGAAAAAAGATGAAATAAAAGCAGCAGAGTTATAAACTATAAGGATAAAAAAATGTGATCATGATTTAAACTTTTCATGGATCTGATTTCCATGATAGTGGGGAAACAATGTGAGTGTAATAGCATAAATAAAGTAAAGGAAGGAATTTATCTTTCCGGTCAAATGATTTCTTATTACAGCAGGGAGAAAGTGTCAAATGGTATAGAAAAGTTCTATTTCAATGTATAAGTATTGCTGTACTGAACAACTTTGTTTTGTATAATAAATTTTATGTATTACAGAAACCAATGTAGCTATCATCTTTCATAAAATCCATTGCAAGCTCCTTCCTTTGAGTCCAACAAATTTCAGTTGATAAGCCTACACAAAAAGAGCATGAAATAACTAAAACTGCCAGAAAAGCTGATGGTAAAATATCTAGAAAAAGATGCAATGGTTGTTATGAGAGAATTGCTAGCCTTTCTGGGAATTGACAAGAATATTAAGCACTATTTATTACACAAGATTATAAAAGATGTGAGAAAAATATATTGCCAAAACCAAAAAAGTAGACAGAATGTGTTGAATGTAAAAAAGCATTTTGTTTATCATGTTTCAATTAAAAAAAATTGAAATTGAGTATTTTTGCTTCTCATTTATTGGTGTTCTTTTTTGTAATTTTTTTTGTGTTCAATAAAAATAAGGTAGTCGTGTTTGTGGAATTTTGAGAGTTAAAATTCAAATTTCGAGTTTTTTTTTGGGTTTTTTTAGAGTGTATATTTTAGTGATAAATTTTTGTTTCAATAAAAATAAAGTTCTCTTGTAAATTTTATAAGCAATACGTCTTTTGAGTGTTAAAACTTTTCTTTTTCCAAGTGAAAGGTTATTATCATTTTTTTAAGCATCCTCAGTTTTACCACTCTTTTAGAATCATGGCTTGTGTGCACCACATATGATGCACAGACGTGGAAATCACTTGTCCTGTGCATCACATATGGGCAGAACAGGCAAAGACTACTTTAAGAAATAACAGAAAATTTATTTCAGCCCAAAACAATTATTTATAATTTTTATTTTTGAGATGTAGAATTGTTTATTTGCTTTAATTTACTTATCTTTGTTATAGATTTTGTTAGAGTGATAGTGTTTCAGCCAAGTATCCTTAGGCTATCTTCAGCTATCCATTAATTTTTGATTGATAAAGGTGATAGCTTTATGTTATTTTTGTCACTGTGATAACATTTCTTATTTGTTCCTATCTGTTGTGGTACGATACACCTAATTTACATAAGTGGAGTACCAACCATATAAATATGGGTTGGTACCGGAAGACGGGAAATAGTAGAAAAAAGAGTAAGAAGAGATCGAATCCAGAGACTCTGCCCGACTGCGATTTAGTCAACCCATTCTGCAGGAACAGTCTTCCCAAGAATATACCAAAACTAACTGTAAATATTGTGTACCTTTTCCTTGTTTCAATACATTTTGTTTACGTACATTTTGTGTTGTATTATTATTATTCCATGCTTACCCAAGTTTCAACAATGGCGACGAGGTATAAAGAACTTTCGTTCGGAAAAAAAAAGAATTAATAATTAATAGCCTTCAACAATTGGGACAATTGGAAGAATCCAGGCTGAAGAAAAAAAAAAAAAATCATTAATTAAAAAGTCGAACATCTAATGGAGCGGAAAAAGTATTCTGAAGTTTGGACAGTTAAAACTAGTTAAAGGACGACTAAGCATAAAGGAACGTTCCTCAGAAAAATCTGGGAGGTGGCGTAAACAAATAACGAAAAAAAAAAAAAAAAAAAGAAAAAAAAAGCTGACCGACTAAAAAAGAAAAAAAAAAGCTGGCCGACTAAAAAAAACATGCATGGAATTAAAAGGAGCACAAATACAACGTGTCGACTTTGAAAGGTAAGCGAACTTGTAAAAAAAAAATTTGTTTATTTTTTTTTGTTTGGTTGCTCAACAATATTTTATAAAGCAAGACATAAAATTAAAAAAGGCGTAAGTTGTTTCGATTTTTTTTTTGTCTGCTTATAGTATATTCGTGGATACACAATTTAAAAGTATATTCTTTGTTGCATGAACACTATCAGCTAAAAAATGGAGGAATTATCCAAAGTCATAGCTGAATTGTTTAAAGCCCAGCAGTTGAGTCAAGCTGAATTATTCAAATCCCAGCAGTTGAGTCTGCAACAACAAAGTGAACAGGTTGCCTTATTAAGAGAACAGCAATTAGCACAGCAGAATTATCAAGAAAGGCAAGAGGAGTTGAGTCAGCAACGTCAAAGGAACAGGAAGAAATGTATGTCAAGGTTTTGGAAATTCAAAAAGTTAACATTGGAGAAATTAAACAACAATCAGGCAAATGAAAGTAACTCTTCATATTCTAATATCATATTTAATTCGTTGGAAACTTTCAACTATGTGCCAGACGAAGGAAAAAACGTAAAAAAAAGCGTACTTTAAACGATATGAAGATATTTTCCACACAGACTGTGAAAACTGGTCGAATTCAAGAAAAGTCAGTCTATTACTAAGAAAGCTAGGTACAGCGGAACATAGCAAATTTGTAGATTTTATTCTACCGAGAAGAACAAATGAATTGGAATTCTCGGAAACAGTGAAATTGCTAAAGGAGTTGTTTGGAGCAAATATATTGCTTTGGCATAAGCGATGGTTATGCATGAATGTCGCTAAATCCGACGATCAGGATTACTTATGCATCAATAGTGAATAGACATTGTGACAATTTCAGATTGGCAGAGATTACGGTTGAAGAATTCAAGTGTTTAATTTTTGCTCAAGGACTGGTATCCAGTAAGAGTGCCGAAATAAGACGTAGAGTTTTGTCTAAACTAGAATCTGAACAAAACCTTACCCTGCAAAAGTTAGCAGAGGAGTGTCAGCGGGCCGTAAGTTTAAAGAAAGAGTCTCAAAAAATTGAAGAAGCTGGTATTGCTTATATTAAAAAAGTGAAGAAACAGTCAAATTACCCTTCAGAAAAAAATTGGATTAAAAATTCGGCGTATTTTAAAAATAGACAAGAAAAATTAAATGAAAAAAAATGAGGAGAAAAAAAAAATGGTTCCACCATTTAATTGTAGACGTTGCAACGGAAGACACTGGGAGGTAAATTGCCCATATAGAAATAAAAATGTTTCGTGTGCCACAAGAATGGTCACAAAAAGGGTCGTGTTGTAAAAACGAAAAAAAGTCAATAGCCGAATTAGACAAACAAATTCAAATATCAAATCAGATAGAGATTTGAGGAAGTATGTGACGACTGAAATATTTAAAAAGAATATCAAATTTCAACTCGATTTGGGTTCAGATTTAACAATAATGAACTATAAAACATGGAAAATTTTAAAAGGCCTACAATAAACAAAACGCTTTCGAACAGTGACTGGAAAGGAAATTAAATTCGAAGGCGAGGTTGTACTTCCATGAAATTGAACGGGATAGTAAAAAAATAAAAGTTTTCATTCTGGAAAATGGAGAAAACTTGATGGGTACAGATTTTATTGAAACATTCGAATTGTGGTATAAACCGTTAAACTCTTTCTGCAGAAAAGTAGAAAGTGTCATAAACAAGACAGGACATTAATGAGGAATTAAAAAAAAAGTTTCGGAAACTTTCACACCTGGTCTTGGAAGATGTAACAAGTTTGAAGCCAAATTCGAATTAAAGGAAAATACTATGCCAATTTTTAAAAGAAACGTAATGTGCCTTTCGCAAGTGTAGAGAAAATTAACGAAGAACTTGATATGTTGGAAAAAATGGGAATTATTTCGAAAGTAGAATCTAATTCATGGGCTGCGCCGATTGTGTGCATAAAAAGAAATCAAACCAAGTCAGAGTCTGTGTTGATTTTTTCGACAGGGTTGAACTCGGTAATTGGGACTACCATTACCCGTTACCGAGTCCGGAGGAGATTTTTAACAAGCTAAATGGTGGAGTTATATTTTCAAAATTGACTTATCAGATGCCTATCTCCAAATTCCGTCGAAGAGGAATGTTCAAAGTTACTAGGGATAAACACGCATAGAGGGTTATTCAAGTACAACAGGCTTCCTTTTTGGTATTAAAGTGGCACCTGCCATTTTCAACAAGCTATGGACGTCATGCTGAATGATTTAGACTTTAAATGCGCTTACTTGACGCGACATCATAGTAAGGGAGCCGAATCGGTCGACGAACATCGAGC